ATTGGCAATTAAAGATGCACATTTTGACCTCAAAAAAGTTTTCTTGGATTCACCAAAGTGAAATACTTAGCATTAATGCAATGCTGCTAATTCTAACTACAGTACACAGTGTAATTTCACAATTTTAATGCTAACAAAATAGAAACAAAAGTAATTGTTTATGACCTCACTATCAACACAGCGGTCTGTGGAGGGACACATATAACATTGTCAACAAGGATTTTCTCATTCAGATTATCATCAAAGGAGCCAAATGCAGAATGATAGGGAGTGAAAGGAAACCACTGAGGATGATACAGAATACTAGATAAGACAATCGAACTCTACAGATTCTAACAGCTGTTGTTTGACTGGAACAGGTTTTACCACACACCAAACACAAGCTGCACCGAGCAGAAATGATCTAATGTTCTTATCAATGCATTGAGTCTTAAGGGAATATGAGTCAGGAGAGGCTAATTATAAAAAATAGACAACCGCCGTGGTTTGACTGGAGTGATAATCAAGAGATATTTCAGTCTGTTTAGCGAGTGCAAACACATGCTGGCACACACACAGCTCACAGACCCAGTTCAGTCAATCTCAACCATGCTTCACTGCTCTTTAAGCACAGACAGAGTAAGAAAAAAACAGACCTGAAGGAAAAGACTATGAAAATGGTGGATACAGGATTTAGCAATTATGAATTGCTCCTTATAAGCAGGAAGACACAAATTTGAATAGTCTGAATGAGAGTATACATCACAGGGTTTTTAACCCCTAGGGGTCTGTGAAGGTAGTGCAGGTGCTGTTCACATGGGAAACAGCTTCTCTTCAGATGCTAATTTGCTGCCAGATATCGGTCCAAACAAAAAAAACTTACTAGTTTCGACTTTAAAGGGATAGTTCACCCAAAAATGAAAATTACTCCATGATTTACTCGCCCCCAAGCCATCCTAGGTGTATATGACTTTCTTCTTTCAGACTAATACAATCAGAGATATTTATTTTAAAAATGTCCTTGTTCTTCTTAGCTTTATATAATTGGCAGTGAATGGTGGCCGAGATTTTGAAGGGAAATAAAGTTCATCCATCCATCATAAAAAGTGCTCCACACAGCTCCGGGGGTTAATAAAGGCCTTCTGAAGCGAAACAATGAGTTTGTGTAAGACAAATATCCATATTTAAAACTATAAACTGTAATCTCTAGCTTCTGCTAACTGTTGTACGTGCGTACACGAGAGAGTGGCGTTCCAGTGGATGACGCAGGCATAGTGTAAGCTCCAGTGAGAATATGCTAGTCTCGCGAGAACCAAGTTTTGTTTACAGCAAAGGAAAACCAGTCTCCTCTTGGCTTATATCGAAATCCTTCTAATTGACAGGTGTTTTGGTTTGCTCTCTCCTCTGTTCTTCTGCTTTCGCCAATTCGTTTTAAATATGCTTACACAATTTCAAATAGGGCCCATGGGTACAACCTGCACCGGGGCCCCGCATACGTCAGCTATGGCTCTGGGTGCCGGGTTGCCAGAGAGTAGAAAACAGTGTATCGCAGCCATGGAAGCCAGCAAACGAACTTGGTCAGAATTCACAGATTCTACCCGACCTAAAAAGTCTCTGCATCAATCTAAAATCCTCTATGACCAGAGGCATATTAAAACAAGGATAAATCAACTCATCAACTCACAGTGTAAGACTCGCCGCCTTCCATTGTCAATTGTGGTCATTCCTGTTGCGTGTCCTCAGTCTGACAACTCGCTGGAGCGTCGCGTCTGAGGAGGAGGGAGCGGGAGAAACAATATTTTGAATTTGGACTACAGTATTCACTTCAACCGTCAACTGTCAATATTACATACTCCATCCACCTTTAACTCTTAATACAAAATTGACAGGTGTTTTGGTTTGCTCTCTCCTCTGTTCTTCTGCTTTCGCCAATTCGTTTTAAATATGGATATTTTTTACACAAACGCATCGATTCACTTCAGAAGGCCTATATTAACCTCCTGGAGACATGTGGAGTACATTTTATGATAGATGGATGAACTTTATTTCGCTTCAAAATCTCGGCCACCATTCACTGCCATTATAAAGCTTGGAAGGACACTTTTTAATATAACTCCAATTGTATTTGTCTGAAAGAAGAAAGTCATAAAAAAAATCCTTATGGGAAAAATACTTCCAGAACCAAAGCCACTGAAAAATTGGGTGGGCACTGTTGCGCTCTATTACACTGACGCCATCTTGTATCTCAGTTATTGACTGTAGTGAAAATGACCAGTTCAGAGGAGTTCCGTTTTAACTGTAATACTTGTGCAGTGATCATCTTTTTGATAGGCTGTTTCATGAAATCACTTCCCATTAAACTAATGGATCCTCTGCAGTGAGTGGGTGATGCCAGAATGAGTGTTTATCCAGCTGATAATATCATAACACTAATCCACAAGTAATCCACATGACTCCAGTCCAACCATTTACATCTTGTGAATTGAAAAGCAGTGTGTTTGTAAGAAACAAATGCATCATCAAGGCATTTTAACTTTAAACCTTTGCTTCTGGCCAAAATATGAGTCCATAATCCATAATAACGCTTCCTCCAGCACTCCATTGTGATGGTAAACAAGTGATGTAGATGAAAAAACAAACTCATCTACTCATCTTGGATGGCATGAGGGTGAGTACATTTTTATTTTTTTATTTTTAGGTGAACTTTTTCTTTAATACAATTGTCTTGTATTCATGCTGTATTCAACTATTTGACTATGCATGTTGTCATGTAGCCTGCTTGGACAGACAGATGAAGACTGTAGTATGTAAACTGTGTATGTAAACGTACTTATGAGTCATACAAAAAACAACCACATTATTTTTGAAATTGAAAAATAAAAAGACTTGTGGTACTTTAGTGTGTAATATTTTGACATGTTTTCCCCCCTCTGTTGACTCCCTCTGTTCCTAGATGCCCATATGTGCAGCTTTCCCAGAGAAAAATATTCCCAAAAGATCGATTCTCTCTGGAAAACACATGTTCATTATTAAAAACATGTATTTTTAGTATTTATGACAAACACTAGCTTTCTATTTTTTCTATTCTATCTACTTGTTTTTCTTTGTGT